TTTTGAACCAGTAGGTCTTACTGATAAACCCGGTCCTCATAAGAGTCTGCGCCGCAGTCCCAAGACACACCGAAGCAAGACGCTCTCACTGAGAAATGTGGCTCTTGGAGGGCAGTTCGTATCGAAAGTCGACTGAGGAGTCTGCTGGCAGTGTGGTACAGCGTCGCGACTGATATCATGCATAATAGTGGCCCAGCAAGGTGAGGACGTCCTGACGACGATCAGGCTGTTGCAAATGCAGATCCATTTCGCCTTGCTCGCCGCGGTTGCCCCTCCCTTTCCCCCTCTGCTTGACCCCCCATGCCCGGATATTTCCTTGCGTCGTGCCTGGCTTTCATGACGGGAAGGCAACTGGCAGTAACCCACATGGCTTCGACGGCCGGCTCTGTCAACGGAAAATTTTGCCAGCCATCCTCGGGGTGCTGCATGGGGTGTCAATCGCAGCCAGAGCCGGCCCCGGTCTCTTCATGCAGGTATCCGTTGCAACGGCGCACAAGTCCCGTAAGCGATTGGGCCTGCTCCCAGGAACACAATGTCATCTGACAACCCATAACGAGAGCGGCGATGACCGGGGCAGATGGAAATAAGGCCGGTTCAGCGTGGGAGGAAGCAAAGAAAAAAGCCACCAGGCCAGGCACCAAAGAGGCGCATAGTACGAGCCGATCCGGCTGCCTCCACTATCCGTTGGGCGATATGGAGCATAAGGTACGGTCCAGGATCCAGGCCTTTGCATGTGTGCCCATATGCTTGGCCTTGATATGCTGCCAATGCTGCCAACGAACACATCACTTTGTGATTTCGTCCGCCAGACCGCCAGACCGCCAGACCGCCAGACTGGAAAGGAAATCGATCGGCCTTCTCCGCCTGGCTGGAGCTTATCATCGCCCGACAAGTGAAGACCGGAAAGTAACACAGCTGACGAGCTTTGCCTCATGTCTCTTGCTGAGGGAAGCTCCCGTTACACAGGCTCGTCGATGCCTGCCTGCCGGCCGGCCTGGGAAGAATTGCAGGTGTTCTGCAGAGAGACTCGACATGCTGTCACTTCCATCATCCTGTGCAACATTAGCAACTGGATGTTACGGGCTGCCTTGGTGGGGAAGGGAAGGCCGCGAGACCTACTCGAGAGACCGCCATGTTGGCCACTTGCCGTCTTTGCCACGGGGTTGCAGTCGGCATTAAAGATAGATTCCCTCCACGATAAAAGGATCAGTCGTTGTCGGGTGTAAGTGACGAAGGCCCTCGAGCTTAAGATATCAACCATCCTCTCCCGAACAAACCTGGTCGTAGGAACTCCCGAAATGCCCCCCTCCATGTGGCCAGCTGAACTACGAGGCATTCGGAGACTCTTCTGACAGGTCGAAGCCGTTGTTACACGCATGCCCGGCCCTGCATGCGAGTTCCAGAGATGGGCTGTCCGTGGCCCATCGTCCGTCTAGATGCCGCCAAGGGGAACACACAAGAAGCACCTTGAAGATATGACAACTGACAGATGACAGCTACCACCTACCACCAAACGGTAGGCGGGCTAATGTAGCTTCCCTCCGCGGGCCACTCTGATGTGCACCGATCCCCACTTCCGCGGTTGACTTCCGAGCCGCTTACTTGCAGCTCATGCAAGTCGAAATGGGCGGCCCCCGGGGAGATACGTTTGTTAGTTTGCAACGGCGAAATACTGAGACATTACCTGTCCTGCTTCGAGCAGGTCATTCGCCATGTGCGACGTGAGAGAAAAACGCCCCACGGTCCTGATGGTGATGATTTCCTCTCTATCCCCAACTCCAAAACCCCCATCCCCCACACATCCGGACTCCTGGCCAACAAGAGATGTAAAGAGATGCTTGCGTGCAGGTTGCCGTGGCCGCATCTCGACAGGTCAACGAGATTTTTTCATGAAACACGAGCCTTACGCGGGCGGCAGTGGCAACGGCGGCGTCAATTCAAGTACTCTTTTTTGAGGGGTGTCTACATCTGGTGGTCGACCGTACTGGCTGTGAACTGGACAACGGCGATTGGGTATTCTGCTCTGCTCTGCTGGTGTGATTTTGTTGTTGTCGTGGACAAAAAAGAAGGGAAGGATGCCAGAACCATGTCCGCAGTGCTGCTATCTTCGTCTGTCTCCGCCTCGATCTCTGCCTCGATTCCGGTTATCATAATCTCTGCGGTCTCTGTGGTCTCTACGACCCGAGTCCCGATCGTCGCGTCGCCGGTCGTGGTCATCGTACCGTCGTCCGGCGTTCCGATCGTCGGATCGGTATCGATCTCTATCTCCCCTCCTGTCCCTGTCCCTGTCTCTGGGTCGTCCGGGGCTCCGACTTCTCCTGCGTTCCCTGTCCGACCTGGCGTGATCTCTGCCCTGCTCCTGTTGTCCCTTGGGCTCAGGCCGGCGGTTGCTGTCACGCTCGGCGCGGCCCTTCATTTCCTCATCTCCATACACGAGATCGTAGTTGTCGCCGTCCCTCTCGTACACGTCGCGGTATTGCCTGCGCTTCTCGAGCTCGTCGACTCCTCCCCATCCGCCCCTGGAGGCGTTCTTCTTGCGCTTGCTGTTCGTGTCGTCCCTCCAGACCTGGCTCAGCTTGCTCACACTCTGTGAGAAGTCCACGTGGATACGGCGGTCGTCGATCAGCACGTCCTGCATCTTGAAGTACGCAGCTTCGCAGGAGGCCTTGTCGGCATACTCGATGAAGGCGTACTGGAGACTGTCGCCCGTCTTGGCATCGCGGATGACCTCGCAGCTGAGGATCTTGCCAAACCGACCAAAGATGAGCTCCAGATCGGCATCCGTGGTGACCGGGTTCAGCTTGCAAACGAACAGGACGTTCTCGGGAGGGGCGACCTCGGCAAACGGCAAATCACCCATCATTTCCAGAGTGAGCGCCTGAGCCCGTGCCTCCCTCTCCCTCCGCCGTTTTTCAACGGCCTCCTCGTCCATGTCGTCGTCCTCGTGCAGGGCAGCCTCGTCCGCGATGCGCACAGTCTCGAGCTGTGCCTTAGTCGGGGGCGGCGAGCCGCTGGGCTCCCGCAGCTCCGGTGGGTCGGGGTAGGGGTCGTCGAGAATAATGGTGTGCTTGATGCGGATGTCGATGAGCGGGTGTCCCTTGTCGTCCACGATGGCCTCGTTGATCTTCTCCAGCACGTCGAACCCCTCGACGACCTTGCCAAAGACGGCAGCCTTGCCGTCCAGGTAGTCCGTCTCGTCGCCCAGCGTGACGATGAACTGCGACGCAGCGACGCGCGTGTCCGGGTCCGACTCGAGGGGCGCGGTGGCCATGCTCACGGTGCCGCGCTCGAGGTGCTTGAGCTTCGGGTGGAAGAAGGCGGGGAACATCTTCTTCTTGCTGTCGCCCGACAGCAGGCCCCATATCGAGGTGCCGCCATCGGACTCCTTTGACAGCGGACCGAGGGGGTCGCCGGTCTGGAAGGAGAAGTTCTTCTGGACCGAGTGGATCGGCGAGAAGTTGTAGTACTTGACTTTGCAGAGCTTCAGGAAACTGTCGCGCTTTGTGATTAGCTGAGCAAGAGCTTGGTAGCGGCATACAAGGGGAATAGCTATGGTGGTCAACTTACTTTTCGCACAGCTTCGGCGCGTAGTCGACCAGCAGGTCAATGACAATGTCACCGGAGCTCGTCTCCAAGAGGACCGACATGGCGGCGGGAGGTCTGGTGCGCTGATTCGGAAGGCTAGGCTGACGTCGCAAGCGTGTCTCTCGTCACTGTTGTTCTTTTCGTTATCGGTGCTATCGTCGCGATGACAGCCGTTGCCGGTTCGGTTGCCTTGCTGTCGTCGTTGTCGAAGTCGGCGTGGTGGTGGACGGAGCTTCCCGAAACTTTTTTTCCCTTTGCGCCGCGATCTGATCAACAGAGACCCCAACCAGATCAAAAGTTCCGCTTTGTTGAAAAACACGAGATTCCAAGCTTCGAAGCTTTCGCCGATCTGGCTGCAGCTACGTAAGCAGAGCGCAAGTGGCGTTTCGGGCGCGGGGGCGTGCGTGCGTGGTATCGTGTGTCGTCGATTGTTTGCAGTCAAGGTGGGAAGCGAAGCAAACAACGATGGCCGAATCCACGAGGCAACGGGCCCACGAAAGGTCGAGCTGCGAGACAGAGTCTCGTCACATAGTGCAGCTTATGCAGTGCACACGGCTTGTACACACTGTACATCAGAGTTGCGTGATCGGCGAATCGAATCACACACCAAGAAAACATTAAAAAAAAAAAAAAGGGGGGCTCCATTTATTTGAATTTCGGAGCTTGGAGCTTGACCGATTGGACCCGGCCGAAGAGTCCTAGTCTGGCAGATCGCATTTCGCCAAATTTTGGACTTTTGATTTGCTTTTTTTGGTCCTGGGCAGAAAACATGGGCTGTCTGTGATTGATTTCTGAGAAACTGGGGGTGGCAACGGTACGCACACACAGACTTTGGAGTGTTGCAGGCTGCAGCAGCAAGTAAGCAAGCTCCGAACTATGCCCGCATGCATCCATCGCGAAGATCTCCCGTCATGCTCGAACCACATCCACATGTTTATCACACAAAGAAGCAATGTTTTCGGACTTTGGACATCACAGAAGCAAAGACGTGTAAGGTAAGGGAGTAATAGGTGGTTGGTATGTAAATTTGGTGTCGTGTCGGTCATTACAAGCTCTATGTCTGTTTGGTATCCTACAACCGCCAAATAAAGATACGCAGAAGAAAAGAAAAAGGAAGGATGTCAAGCTGTGCTGATCAAGTCCTCGCCGTTATGTGTGAACATTTCAAAAAAAAAAAAAAAGATTTCCCTCGGGCGAATGCTTGAAAAAATGATGAAGCAAATGCTACTCGCCCGTATGCATCCAACTTTTGTTATCCCGTGGTGCATGCCATGCCATGCCACTGCCATGCCTTTCTCGGCAGATCCGTAGAAATTCCCGCCGCCTTTCAACGCCATTTCCCAAAGGTAGATCGTACCTTGTTCTGTCCCAGGTCCCAAGTTGCCGAAAAGAAGAAAAATCCCAAGCCCGGCAAATTAGCTGTAATAATTGGTGGTCGACATGTGTCGATCAGAGAGGAACGAAAAGAGCTCACGGAGAGCTCTTACGTCGTCGCTCAGAGCGCAGCTCCTTCTCCGTATCCATGAGACGGCACTGAACCCACATGCGGAACGAGCTGTCGCTCCGCACCTGCTCGCAGTTGAGCAGCTCCATCAGGGCCCGCTTCATGCCCTCGTTGACGTCGAACAGACGCTGCTCCTCCTCCGCGACGGCCCAGATCGTCGTCTCGTCCGCGATCGGAGCGAGGGAGCTGCTGCGGCGCGCCTTGGGGGAGGAGAGCGACGAGCGCCGGCTGCGGCTGTGGTGTCTGCGACCGCCGGTGGGGTACTGTCCGAACGGCGAGCAGGTGCTGCGGGTGGGGGACACGGAGGGTGAGGAGGCGAGGGAGGTGCTGCAGGTAGTGGTGATGGGCCTGATCTGGTCGAGGTGTTGACGGAGCTCCTCGTGTTGGGAGTGCAGGAGGAGATATTGTTGCAGGGCGAAGTTGGAGGTTTGCTCCTGTGAGAGGGGGAGGGTGCTTTGGGCGGCCATTTTTGATGGTGTTGTTAATGGATGTGATAGTTGTAATGTGCAGGTGAGATGTCTTTGGGCTATTGACGAGCCCATCGGAAACCAATGTGGGAGAGAAAGAAAAGGTAATTGAAATGGTTTAGCTGTGGGCTGATGGTTGTTTAGGTAGGTAGACGAAGACAGAGTTCGGAGTGTCGTCGGCAAGTGTGTGCAGCGTGCACTGGCGAGATGTGGTCGTGTAATGACGAGGGGGTAGCGAGACGATGTCGTCAATGTGATGCTGTTCGGCAGGGTGGCAGATCGGTCACCGCAATGGTACTCAGGTAGCTGGATATATATGCGAGTTGTCGTCGGCGGTGGTGGTGGTGAAGTTTGTTTTGTTTGTTTGTTCTCCAACAACGGTAAAAGAGGCGTCAAGCGGCTGATAAGAGCGCAGGAAAGGGCCTCGACGGTGAATGGCTGGGATGGGAGTGCGAGAGGGGGGGAAGAAGACGGAGGGCAATTGACTCGTGGTCTGGCTTGGTCCGATGGTTCGAGGAGGAGCAAAATGGCAGCGTGCGTCGAGTACTAATACCGAGTACGTTCGCTAGCTCTCCCGCCCTGTCGATGGCGTCGATCACAGGTGGAGCCGTCGTCCTTTGTCTCCTTTCAAATGAACCCCCGTTGGCGTGCAAGAGAAGGAGATGCGGACTGGGGCGCGGGCGTTGGGCCTTGTCCAACTGGTCCGACTTTTTGCGTGGGTTTGGCGGGGGTCGCGCAGCAGAGGTTCCCCTCAGATGTCGGTAATAAATGTGAAAAAGAGGAGAAGGGATGCAGCGACTGATCAGGGCGTGCCCGCTGGCGAGCAGATGTTTGGTCAGAGATTGAGGAGGTGAGGAGGTGAGAGCTTTTGTCCCGGTCCGGGGAAGAAGAGGCGATCAAGTAATATGTAGCTAAGATGTGCGTCGTGCCTCTTTTGCAGTTTGCGGTGTGCACGTCCGATGCAGCTGGATAAGGGCCGGTTGGTCGGTCGGTACCGGTATTAAAAGTGTAAGCCAGGTCCAGTGTGTAAGAAGCTCCTCAATTGGGTTCCGTGGTTCCTCAACTGAAAGCCCCCCCGGCGAATGGTAGGTGGTCCTGTCGGGCGTGGCAGGTTTTCCGGTTCTTGTTTTTATTAATAGTTAGGTGACGGTGGGATGTCGCCCGGAAGGGAACAAGCGGAGAGTTGACGAGATAAGGTAATGCGCGATGGAAGGGAACCAGAGACTTGTCAGAAACTGGGCGAGATGAGAATGAGAGACAGGCCAGGCACAGGAACCAGCCAGCCAGCACGTTGATTATCGCGGTGCTGTACCAATAATCAAAGCTTGGACGTCCCTCGTGGAAATCACCCCCCGTTCGAAGTGGCGCTAAATAGAACCAGCAGAAAAAGCCACAGGGCGTTTAACACACCACACAATGCAAAGGGACCGGGATGTTTTGGGGCCCTCGGGGCTGGACTTCAACGTGGGTTTCTGTGTGTGCTTGCTGCGGTGCGTAACGCCGTATGGTGTCGACGGGCCAAGACTTAGGTGCGGCGGTGGTGTCCCACTGCTAATAAATACCAACAAACGGCGAACCCGTTGTTGCAAAACCGACAGAACTGGGTGAGGCGCCCGGTAGTCAGGAGAAGGGATGCGCAAGCAGGGTGCGGAAAATGGAATGGTGAACGCACCGGCCGACAGCCGGGAGGTGGTCTGGAAGCTTTTTTGGGACCAAGTGATGCTTTTGATGGAGCGGTTCAGGTCTGCCGTCGCAGGAGTCAAAGCCCAAAGAGACTAAAACTTTGGCTAACTCTCGTGTGATGGCGTGCGTTTCCGTTGTCCGTGACGGCAGAGGGGATGGACGGGAGGGGAGGTGTGAGACTTTTGTGATGTATGCAATTTGGGGAGGGAGACCTAGACTCAGACAAGTCTGTACCAGAATGTGGTAGATACGGTCTGAAATCTCACTGAACGGTGGTGGCTGGTGGTGGTGGTGATGGTGACGATGAGGGGATGCCAACTACCTAATATTGGCGGCCGATAGCGTAAGACGGGACGGACGGGGATATGGATGTCTGGGAGATGGTGTGTGGAGGGAGCACTCTCGACGACCCCTGGTCCAATTAATAGACCCGGTCCAGCCCGGATGGGAGGTGGATGGTAATACGAAGACAACTGACAAGCGCGCTGTCGTCTTTCAATGCGCGTAGGCGCTGCCCGCAGTGGTTTTGCCCACTCGAATGGCAGGTCGGAGTTGGCAGAGGGGTCGTCTGTGGATACGGTTCGCTGCCGGTGGTGCAATAAACCGGTTCGATGTTGCACTATCCAACCGGTACAAGAAGGGCACAGCAATGGAGCATGCAACTAATCCCTAGTAACATGCAGCCCACGCGCTCCGATGAGAGGTCCAGTTGGTCCACGTTGGGGCTAGGCCTTGCTTGCTCTGCCCTTTTTGCTGGTGGTGGTGGTGGTGTTGTTGGTGTACCGTGTATGTAAGGTAGCCCACGGATATGATGGCGCTATCTCCTGAGTTCTTTCGTGTAGGTGGTTTTGGGGGTGACCTTTGGCCAAGTTGAGCGCCCTGATACGGGTCTACTTCCCAAACTGGTGGTGCGCAGGGTCGTGTCGGCGTGGCGCTGTCAGTGCAGCCGACGACAAGATTGTGATACCGACGATGCGGTTGGCGAGGGCGATAACAAAGTTCGATGATAAAGTGCGAGGGCCCCTGGAGGCGAAATCGACCTCAGCTGGCTGCTAGCGTCTGCGCCTGTGTGGTGGTGCTCGTTGCCGGCGCCGCGGTGACGACGATGCTGATGCAATGCCAGAAAGAAGTCCCTGGCGAATGAGGACTGGAGGAGGTGCACGAAGCTGAGGTGATCGTGGTGTTGTTGCTGTTGTTTCTGCTGGGGCGTAGTATTACCGGTATGGCTGTGCGGGCTCGTGTCTGCGGGGCCGCGCTGCTGCTTCTGCAGTTCTCGTGATTCCTGTTGATGATGCCGGTGCTTGTTTTGTTGTTGATGTCCGTGTTCAGGTTTATGCTGGATTTCCGGAGGTTCGGGGGTGATCCAGGTTATTTCACAATGATACATAGCAATACGGAGAAATATGCTGGTGACAATATCGACGGGCTTGTCCTGGGTTTGGTGTAGACTAAGGTACTCGGAGGAGGAGGGAAAGGGTTGCTTGAGACTGAACAGTTGTCTCGGGGCTTGACGCCTTTGAGGCTGGTGGCATTTTGTACTTCCCAACTCGAGGCCGCTACAGGGCCATTCGAACACACAAGTGACGTACGTGCCTCAGAAGACCATGTGGCTTGCCAGCGCTTGGGGTCTCACGTATCGCGATCCCACGTTTGGCTCTCCTTTGCTTTGCCATTTCTCCCTGCTTTTTAGGCCCTCGATGAGGTATTCGCCTGGTAATAATGGGGACACAAGGGGGCCACTCTTTGGCACACGGCCCGCTAATAACGCTCATGCTTTATGTTTTTTTGCTCCGATGTGCTTTGAATAGAAGCTGTCCCCGGCACGACTTCCGAGCAAGACAGGACAGGCTGTGGCCACTGCTCGAGGGGTTTTGGTAAGGGGACATCCTGTTTTCAGACGAATTCGCATGCTCGTGTTGCGGGAGATCCCTCTGGGCAGACGCCGCGGATCAGCCAACGCCTCTGATCTCAAGCGCAGCCTGGCCGCGAGCCGGCCTGGAGACAATCATGCCCAGCAGGAAATGATGGCGAGCGGTGAAGGTTGTACACACCGCGCCCTCGTTGGGTGTCAAAGTACTTTTGGGATCAGTCTGGCAGCTTGAAAAGACCCTTCTTGCTGCTTTGGGTTGCATGGATGTCACTCCGACACCACCTTCACTGAGGGCTTGCAAACGGAGATTCGTCCGGACAAGACAACCTCACCTCTCGCTTCAGGCTGGCGGCGCGGCGACGCCAGCACCTGCACCTCTACCGAAGGCCCAGGAGCTCCCATCATCAAATGATCGGAGGGGATCAGAATTCCCTGACAGTCCAGCCTCTGGGATCGTCGCCCCCGGTGTACGCAACCGCAGCCACGAGACCACCAAGAGGCGGTTCGTACCTTGCAGAGAAGCTCCTTTGGCCCCCAACAGACGGAAGGGAAAGGTGACCGGCCGGCGATCCCAAAGTCCTCTTTTTTTGACAAGTCGCAAACCACACCAGACAACACACGCACACCACACAGAATTCGATCCGAACCAAACATATGATGGGACTGATGGGAAAATCGACAGGCCGACCCATGATCTGAGCCTTTTCTGATCCTCATCCTTGGGGCGCGTGCGATGACTTCATAGCCTCGTTTCAACGGCTCGACCCTGCCCTGTTTCGTTCCCGCCTTTTTTTTCTCCTCCCCCTAACCCCCTTCTCCTGATCCCGATCCCGGCCCCGGCCATGTCGCTCCCATGCCGTCAAAGGAAGGTCCAGAAGGAAAGATAGAGCTCCCCCAGCTATCAAAGCTCTGAGCTTCCACAAATGATGGCCAGACCACCATACCGGCGGATTGGCAATGTGTTGGTGCTCCCGAAGAATGCCAGCTCGCCCAATCAGTGAGCTCCCTGCGTCTCTTTTCTCCTAGTCGATGTTGCAAGGGTCCGTTCCTTCGTGCGAGCCACAAGACCTTCGCACGTCACCCAGGCCCAGCTTGCGTGGTGTTTCGCCGTAATTTCCATTCTTTTCCCCCAGCGAATTTCAGCCACACCTTGAACGGTCGACAATATGACGTCCATCCATCTGTCAGGCTCACCTTTTCACACGTCGTCAACCGGAGCGTAGTCTCCGTATTGAATTTTGCCAACACAGCCTTACGTAAATTCCACTCTTACTGGGTCAAGCTTTTCCTTCTGTATTGAATTGACTTTCTGGGGTTCCCAACCGACAACCGAAAGGCAACAGGCGAAGGTTAGAGGAGAAGAAAAGGTTGACCCCTCATCCTGAACGTTTGCGGTGCTCTCGAACTCTCTGCACGCCCTGAGACTGCCGGAGCATCAGGCCACATGCCTCTGGCGCCCCCGGGAATGCGGGGAAAGCTGGGGATGCATGAAGTTGACAGGCAATAACCTGATAATCGACTGGTTCGCGGAGGTCCCAGTGAATCTTGTTGGAGATGGCATGATGGGCTCGGGAAAAAAGCTTGGGGTGCATGCTCGAGCTTGCGGACGATGTTACTCGCCATGAACTGACTTTCAGCCCCGACTTTTCATCGTCGTAGGCACGACACCAGCTTGCCATTCGCTGCTGTAAGGCGCCATTCACTCTTGGAGTCACCAGATTTACCCTCTCCTCCCTCAAAGAAATGCCTGGAAGCTTCTCGGGTTTCGGGAGATCTCCCATTTTACCAGAGACGCTCCAGTTTCCAACTTCAGACTGGACCCTGCGTTTTGGATTTGCACGCATGTCATCGTTGATCCTTGTCAATCTTGTGAGCTCTCCTCGTGCTGATGTAGGTTCTGCAGCATCAGGCCACGAACTGCTGTTGCTGATTCATCGTCTCTTGTCAAGTTAACTGCGCTTCACATGTCGTGGTATTGCAGCCAGCTGGCCTGGCGAAAACTCTTTTTTTGAGCCAGCAGTCACTGCGGTGTCTAAGCTACGGGAGTCCAGACGACGTCTTGAAAGCTTCCTTGGAAGGTGCGTCAGCGGTCTAGAACTCTCCGTGCTCGAGAGATGCATCGCCTCGCCGGTGTTGCGTCCCGCAAGTCGCATATGCACGATGCCGAACGTTCGGTGCGGTGGCTCGGACAGCTGCATTGCGGTAGCATCAACCTTCTTGCCGCGTGGGCTCAACCGCGGCTTATCAGGGCGTCACGGTCGCTTTGGTGACGATCTCACCACATCACGCTTGTGCTCGTACTCGAGGGCGCAGACACTCGGCATATCCGGATGGGAACGCTGTCGCTGTAAAGGGGGCCCTTTTGCAGCGCCCTGGCGGGAATGGGAAAGTCGACGTAGTCCAAGCCCATGGCGCGTTCGCGGCAGCGGCTGCAGAAGGCCTCAAAGGTAACCTCGTTGCGCTGAGTTGCAGATATCAAGACCTCCACCTTGGGGAAGAGGGTGAACAGCTCCTCGACCGTCGCGATAAGCGCTGGGATGATGCTCTGGTCGTACGTGATATCGGCGCCAATGACGACGTCGACGCTCTCGCCATTGTTCCACTTCTGATCTTCTGTTCCGATGAGGGCGTGTCCCCATCTCAGCTCCATGGGTCTGACCAGCTCGCTGTCTTGAAGATCGTTGAGGAAGAAACTCTCTGGGAGGTTGTTGATAACATCATCAGACCCGTCCGACGCAACAACGTGAGCAGCACCAAGGTGCTTGGCGCAGAGGATGGCGAGATATCCGGTTCCTGCACCAAGTTCCAAGACCCTTTTTCCGTTGATGATCTGATGGTTGGCGCATAGGTACTGGCCAAGGTGCAATGCGGCTTCCCACGTTCGGAGACCCGTGGTGCCAGACGCAGAGATCAGCGAGCGGGCCTCAAGCAGGGTGATGTCAGGCGTAGATAACGGCTGATCTGGGGATATGCTCTCCAGTCCACTAAGGTGATATGTGACGTAGGACTTTTGTTGGACGGAAGACGCCTCGGAGGGAATTGGATTCGCGAGAGACTCTGACAAGGCTGTCATGAGATCTTCCGAAACCTCCTAAGGGTAGTCAGACGCTTCCACCCAGGAACGTGTTATGCTTGGGTGTTACAGATTGAGGGGGCACTTACATGCTGGTCCCAGTCCTCAATACTCGACTCTATTCTCGCGACAAGCTCTTTAAGTACACGAAGTCTATATCGACCTGGGGGCGCGTAGCGTGGGCCTTCGTCTGAAAACAGCTTCTTGTAGATTGCATTTTGGGCCTGTGGTTCTCGAATAACTTGAGCGGGTGGATAATCTAGCGTTGGCTCGAGCTGCAGATATTGGGAGCAGAACCGATTGACGGAGTCGTCTAGTGTTGAAAGATGCATCATCTTGGCAATGAATCTGGTACTTTGTGCCTGGTGCCTGGTGAAGTTGACCAGGGTTTCAAGTGAAGTTGTCGTGTTGCCCAATTGGGAAGTGGGTTAAAAATTGGCAGTGAGGGGGCACCAGAACGGATGCTCCTGCCTAAGAAATCGTGTTATCGATTGACTCTTCTGAAACCGCCTCGGTGCGAGAGGAATTGGAATCAGATCCAAGGCAAATATTAAAAGCGAAAGAATGATCTGGTATCAGTCTCTCATATCTTGTCAAGGCATGTCAGTGAAATTCGAGATGTCGATATGAGCAGGGTCGAGGGGCACCGAGATGTTGCTGAGTCAGAATCGCAAAGTTGAGCCGTACAAACACAGTGCAGCATCGGACCCCTCCACAAGCGCTCCAGCGTTGTCGACATTTCCAGAGTTGCATCCCAAAAATTCTAATTCGCTGAGCGGAAGGTGCCAGTCACATGACTAGGTGCGCTCTTGCCAGACACGAAAGAGAGAGAAGAAAAAACAGGGAAGGATCCAGTCGCCCCACGTGACCCTGACACTTGCCGCCACACTCCATCGCTGGCAGGCTGCTGTGCGCCGTCCTGAGGCACGGACGCTTTCTAGGGCTTCCGCCCAATTAAGCGAACCAGTCCCCCTCGCGGAAATTTCACCTCTGGTACCCCATCATAATTCTCAGGACTTTGACGATATCACACCTCTCCGACTTTCTGTCTCAGCGTCAACCCTCTCGACAGACAGATCAGCCCAACCGCAAAGATGGCGGACGTCGACACCCCCGTCACCCTGCGAACTCGCAAGTTCATCCGTAACCCCCTGCTTGGCCGTAAGCAGATGGTCGTGTGAGTTTGCCCCCTCAAGATTTCCGTCTTTGTCTCGCCCAAGAAGCCCCGGATCGAAAAAGAGGAGGAAACCACCGCAACGAGAAGAGCATCCAACCGCGACAATCCATCACCGCCGCCATCGAGTACCGAAACAGAGCGACAATCGCGACACTTTTATCCGCCACAAATTTTGACGAAACGCGAGCGCGTGGAGGAAGCATGGGGCAACCGGGGCAAAGGGCGAAAAAAAGTTCGATGCAAGAGACTTGTGTGTGCTGACTTTGCCCGCGCAACAGTGACATCCTCCACCCCGGCCGTGCCAACATCTCCAAGGATGAGCTCCGTGAGAAGCTCGGCTCCTTGTACAAGGCCACCAAGGACCAGATCAACGTCTTCGGTCTCCGCACCCAGTTCGGTGGTGGCAAGACCACCGGCTTCGCTCTCGTCTACGACTCCCCCGAGGCCATGAAGAAGTTCGAGCCCCACTACAGACTGGTCCGCGTTGGCTTTGCCAACAAGATCGAGAAGGCCAGCAGACAGCAGCGTACGTCGACACCGGTCCGTCACCCGAGGAGGATATCAGGAGGTCTTGCGGAAGCGGTCGGGCATCTCCCCGAATGCCGTGCCTCTGTCGAGCCGTCTGATGTCTCCCGCGCGGTGGCGAACAACACTCCCAACCCTCAAGAAGCAAACGCTGACATTCCCCGCGCTCTACAGGCAAGCAGCGCAAGAACCGCCAGAAGACTCTGCGCGGAACGGCGAAGGTCAAGGGTGCCAAGAAGAAGAAGGAGTAAGCGGTTTACCTTGCCTAGGGTCAAGGCGCATGAGGGATTCCCCGGATCATCCGCACCGTGGGCGGCGTTGGTGGAACATCAAAATGAAAAATGTCGTCAACTTGGGCTCGTGTGTTCCTTGGGGGTTCCCTTATCTCATGGGGTCATCCAACCGGCTGCGGCTTTGTGCATTATTCGACGAAGAAACAATGCGGCTTTTGCATCGTCCCTTGGTGTGTCTTCGGCTGGGTTGGTCGGAGCACATAAAATTCTAGAGTCTACGCGGCGTGAAAGGGGGAATGGGTTCATGATTCTCTCAAATATGAAATGCATCAAAACAAACCGTATGCCTTGGTTCCCCAAATACTTGACCCGCATGTTTCGAGTGATCGTTCGGCAGTGACAATGGTTATCTCATCCAAACTGGGAACTGGTTTCCATCTGTGGAACCTGAAGAGAACCCTTGAACACGGCGTGATGGACCACCGCTAGCTGAATGTTGGTGCAGATAATGGAGCACTGCCTTTCTATGGTTCTGCCGGCAGTCAACTCGCAGTCCTCGATAAGTGCGCATGTGGTGGCAAGATATGGCGGCAATTTGCTCAACCCTACCGATGATGTACAGAATATGTCTCGCTGCACGGTTTTGCCTGCCGTGCCCGTTGGAGAATCCGTCCCAAGGTTTCGCGAGGTCCAAACAGGCAAGCATTCGTCCTCCGGTGGATGCTATTCGCATGAATAAGGAGCCGACGAGCCACGTTGACAGAGTCGCCGGCCAAGACATCAAGACTCAGGTTGAAGTTGTATTTGGTCGCTCCGTTGTTCATCAAGCTGATTTGGAACGAATTCCTTAATGTTTAGCTGCCTCCGTTGCGTGTACGGGGTAAAAGAATGTCGCCACATGCACCCCGATCTCGTTTGCTGTTCGAAAGAAATGGATGTCACGATGCTGAGCCTTTATATGCAAAAGATGAGGGTCCATGGCAGCTTTACCTCGTCTCTGCGCACTCTACTACATGCCGTTCAATTTTGGACCTGTCTCGGCTGCTATCCTTCGTTTTAATATAGATCTCGTGATCTGGTATGGAACGCAGCACTCTTGCATGTGTACCATCGGGTGTAAATTGACCAGCTTTCCGTCACACAGACAGCAATGTGTATTTAAGCTATTGTTTGCCTTCTCTTTCGTCAAAATTGAAACAACAGATTCACAAGGTCGGTTGCATTTTGTGAGGAAAAGACATTTCTGTCAAGCGCCACGATACTTTGGAGATGGCTGGCAAGGAGCATCAGCGAGCATTTGCTGCCTGGTGTCAGCCAAAGTATACACAGACATGAATCACCATACGGTGAGGATCGCCGAGAGAGCTGCAGAACAACGTATATGAATTTGCAAGTCGTTTGTATATTTCCAGGATTATATAAGATGAGGCGTGTAGTCGTAGAAGCGCCAACTACTTGTTAACGTGCCGGATTGTCGACATTCGGATAGCGTTTTCGCAGAACAGGTGTGTAGATCGTGTCCAAGAAGGTCTCAGCTTCAACAACAATCGGAGTCTTTCCTTCAAAGCGTTGATTGGAAACATGGAGCGACTTCTTTTCATGTGACCAGCTCTGCGACAAGTATTTAACATCGCCATGGACATGCATATGGTTGCAAATTTTGGAACACAATGGCTCTCAATTTGGCTGCGTTAAAGTAGATGGTTGGAGTTTGTGGCTGGTTGAATTTCAAATGCCCAGGTCGATCGGGATCAAACAAGCCCTGCCCGTCGTCGTCACGACGATTAAGCTTCAGGAATCAAAGTCAGCATTCATGATGGTCATCGCTATCTGCATTTGATGTTGCGATGTATTGGGCAGTACAAGCAAGAGGCTAGGGAGAACGATAGAGACACAATATTGCATGGCGAAAACCAATGTGCTTGATTGACTATGATAGTCCTGATTTCTGACTTCAGGTGCAGTTGATGGATGACTGCCTATTGGTGCCCCAGCCGCAGAGACTTCGAGAACGATCGTGTAGAGCTTCCAAGAACGCCGACACGAAAGCCGGTGTTTATTTCAGGCAGTCTCAGACTGAAAGCTTCATCATCATAGCAGCTCTTGATCATAGTGATACAAACGGTACCGGAAGGATTGGATTCCTCCGCCACATGCCATAATTGCTAGTTCCAGGTTGGTTGATACGACGGCATGCATTCGAAAGAACACTTTCCACGAAGATTTCAACGCCAACCAGCAGCATTGTTGAAATCGAATGATGCAAGTGATCGAGACTTTTTCTTTACCTTCAGTGCTCTCGGTACCCGTGTAATAGCTTCCATTTGTAGAGCTACTTCAGTGTCCATGGATGTTGAAAGCGACTTCCGGGCATAAGTATCCTTGAATAAACCGCAACGGATGCCGGATGATATCAGGCTCAAGGGACAGAAGGAAGAGGAACGTATCGTACAACTGAGGGACGCAAGCCCATAATCCGTGGCCAACTTGATAGTATAACGACAAGTTTTGCCGAATCCAACAGACATCTATCAATATCCAACGAGGTTACACATGTTTGGCGTTAACCAACCACCTCCATACCAGGCGAGAGTCAGGACTTTTATATTCGCCCCTTCGGAGCAAGGCATAAGCTCGCACACGTCTCTAATCGGTCTCACGCAGAAGACGCCTCATTTCTGAGAACTTGCCTCTAGAACCCAAGCCTGCACCGAGGCTTTCATTATGCACTGAACGATACCTATGTGCAGCAGCCACCAAGTCTGACGCTCGTTCAGTTGTCGCGCCAAGTATTTCGGACATAATTTCAAAACAAATGCTTTTATATAAAAGCGGCGGTCTTTCTGCTCTTTTGGAACCTCTCTGCAGCAAGAGACGCACAATATACGCCACATTCATTTCCAATCAAATGGTTTCTGTCTCCGCGTGCTTTTAAACGACACCACAGTCCTAATCATGCGAAAGATGTATCTGTCTGTCCGAGATCCTCGCCCACGCTCTAATGACACGCCCCAACCAACTATATATGAATACACCACTGAGCAAAGACAGTGAAGGAAAACGGCGTCGACTAGGGAGAGAAAGCAAGCCTCTTGTGCGCGTATCCTTGTCGATCAATTCCCGTCTCATAGAGAGGCCACCTCGGCTTCAAAAACATCACAATACGAACTCCAACAGACCCGGAAGACCGTAAGATTGTTGCTCAGCCAGTGTCATGTGTCCAAGGCTACGCTTTATATGCGTCCCACTGCCTACGCTATGCGGGGCGATCCGACCACTTCCCCAATTTGACGTCTTTGGTGTGTATAAAAGCCCCGACATATTTGCCCATACTCTTGAGTGCTTCGTCCCCAATGCACGTCTTAAGAAAAATTGCAAATTCTCAGTGGAAACACTACGAATAGAGTATTTGTTCCATTGGGCAGCGATTCTCAAAATTGACGCCAAACAGCTCCGAGTTACGCCTTCGTGCCATCGTCTTCGCTCATAACTGCTTCTCCCATTGTATTCATACAAATATACTAAACAGACGCAATCATCTATTTTCACATCAATTGTCGAACGAAGTCGGGCAGCGCTCACCACATAGCTGTCGCACATGAGGATGATGAAGATTCGCAGTAGATCCAGGGAGAAAACACTCATTTCTGGTTAGAAGCACGAAATCAAGCTCACAAGAGCGTATTTAAGCTACTAACACCCAGGCAAGCAAGCATCGGGTTCAGGACCCCAGGATGCTCAAGATTCTCCCAGGACACCCTGGAAGAGATCAAGATCCAGGTGCGATGTCTTCTATAAAAGGACAACGAAGCCAGAACCCTGATTTCTCGACCAGAATCTGACCCAGGCAAACATCTGACAATTGCACCTGGTCCATCCAGAAGGCAATTCAGACATAGTTCGAGCCTGAGGTCGTTTCAACGCCTGCCGCGATACTTTTGCCGCGATATCGTATGGTCCAGTCGCGCTTGAAGTGTTCCAAGACTATTCTTCATCGCCCGCGTTGGATCCCCACCCAATACTCCCACAGAAGAGGCAAAGACCCGGAAGCATTGAGAACTTGGTTCAGTCGGAAAGGAACAAGCCTCTCTCTACCAAGACATCCGCAGGTAACCCTTCGTCACGGAGCTCACATCTTTCATCTCCAGACGAAGTCGCAGAGATGCTAGAGATGCATATTGGCTGTCTGGCCTATTTTCAAGTACAACATCAACGCCTTATATAGTACAAGACCCGTCCACCCATCGGAAGCCAGAATGAGGATGCCCGGCCCTTCGACGATGCCATCTGGCCGAGACGTGTCGGGTAGGAAGACGGACACTCCTTTCCAACGGCTAAGTCGGGCAACACCGCCTTTCTCGTATAAGGTACATAAGGGGCCGGGGACTCCATGTTTGGTATCGAAACAGGCAAATCGGCTGTTGAAAGAATACACCTGTATCGCTGTTACCCACATTTTGGTATATCGTCATCTGAACCGTCAGGCTGACTTGCTCGTTATTACTCGATGCGGGCAATCTTCCTACCTCCGCCCGTCCTCGGCACCTCTTTCAGTATATACACACCATCCCCGCGTTGTCACTCACACTCTTACCCTTACACAGCATGATTCATCAAGAGGACCTCGTCCCCATCTTCCATTCCATCTAATATAACTCATATGGTATCAACGCCCCAAACGCCACATCTATGCCCCCACCCCTCCCAAAAAAACTCCGGTGTAGAAAAAAAAGCAACCACACGCCTCATCTCACAACCCCCCGGTGAGGAAAACCCCACCCCTACATCTCCTTCATCCTCTTCACCGGCCTTGCCAACGAATCATCCGGCAGCCCGCTCCTCTTCGTCCCCGGCAGACTACTCGTCCGGATATCGTTGTCGTCCTGGCTGACCCTCCTGTGCGGGTACTCGTTCTTCAGCCCCTCAAAACAGTGCGCGTTCAACCGATCCCCCGTCGAGAAGAAAGGGTGCTGCAGCGCCTTCGCCGCCGTCAGCCGCTCCACGGGGTCGTACTCCAGCAAACTCGCCAGCAGCTTGTACCCCTCCGCGCCGAGGCTCGCCAGCGGCGCGTTCGGCGCGTTCGGCGCCGACGTCGCGCTGCTCGACTGCCCCTGCGAGATGGTGCTGTAGTACCACTTCTCGAGGTTCGACCCGTTCGCCGGCGGCGGCTGCTGGTGGTGGTGCCCGCGGTGGTGGCCGTGGTGGTGCGGCGTCATCGGCGGCTGCAGCGTGCCGAGCTGCGTGTACTCGGGCATGGCGGTCAGCAGCGGCCAGCGCTCCTTGGTGGGCAGGCCCATGATGTCGACGATCTTCTGCATCTGGTTGCGCTGGAAGGGCACCGTCTTCTTGCTGTCCATCTTGGCCTCTTCACCCTTGAAGATGGGTCGCAGCGAGAGGAGCTCCGCGAAGATGCAGCCGATGGCCCACATGTCGATCGCGGGCGTGTAGTGCCGCGAGCCGAGGATGAGCTCGGGCGCGCGGTACCAGATCGTCACGACGACCTTATCGCCGCTGAAGAGCGAGTGCAGCGGCTTGTCGAAGCGCCGCGCGAGGCCCAGGTCGCCGATCTTGACCTCGCCCGCGGAGGTGACCATGATGTTGGCCGGTTTGAGGTCGCGGTGCAGGACCCAGTTGGCGTGGAGGTACTGGCACCCGTTGAGCAGCTGGAACATGATGCTCTTGACGGTCTGCGGCGGGATCGGGTGGCGCGGGTTCTGCGTGTGGTGGTGGATGATCTGCAGCAGGTCGTGCTCGGCGTACTCGAAGACCATGAAGATGCACTTGTCCTCGAGGATGATCTCGACGAGCTTGATGACGTTGGCGTGCTTCAGCTCGCTGCACAGGGACATCTCGCGGATGGCGGACTGCGAAATGCCTGTGTAAGAGATCTGCTCGCCCTCCTTGTCGGGCTTGAACTTCTTGATGGCGAACTCGCCGGGCTGGCCCTGGCGGCCGAGGGCCTTGTAGACGCGGCCATAGGTTCCTGAGCTGATGAAGCCGACGACCTTGTACCGCTCGATAACGCGGACCTTGGGCTGGTAGTTGATGTGGCCTACGCCGCGGTCTGCTGGGTCTGTGAAAAGTGAGGTTAGTATGGCCTGAGGTGGTTTTCGAGGTGTGGAGAATCTTGAATTCAAGATGTAATCGGAAGGGATGCCAAATACAAGAGCTGTGACTGTGCAGGCCGCCGTAGCCGATACCCCTCCACATATTTAGGGACGTATGCGGGAGGATGGAAGGAGGGGTGGTATAAGAGACCGGGCGAGAGGAGAGAGAAGAGAGAGAAGGTTTTTAATGATATGCACTCGCTTCACACACGACACATGTCTCCTTGTTTGCGTCTGTCTTTGTACAAGCGGAGGATGAGATGAGGTGAGACCTCTCACAGCGACACAGGGCTGATTATGAGAGAGACAATCACACGATTGACGAGAGCACAAGACGACTGAGATGAGGGGGCCAAGGCAAGGCAAGGCAAGGCAAGCTCAGGCAAGAAAGCTCACCGCCGATCTAGGTCCAGGCCTCGGAAGGGACTGACTGGGGGCTGAAGTGAGGCAATGGGCTGGAGTTCGCGGGGTTCGGGCGCCTCCTAAGCTTTAAGCAGGCCAGCCAGAGCACGGCGGAAGAATGCAGCCTGCCACCCGCCGAAGGCCCGAAACACACAACTGGGAAGACCTGGGTGGTGCCGGCGCCCTTCCGCTCTCCGCCTGGGCGTTCGTGTGAGATGCAAAGGGAAAGCGAAAAAAAAAATTGGGAAAAGGGAAAAAGGGTGTGGTGGAGACAGAGGAGACGAAAATAAGATCGAACAGAGGGAATGAGGAGAAGAGACGAGACGCGAACGCAACGTGAGTGCAAGGCCTCCCGACAGAGATATGTATGCAAGAGGCAAGTTTGGTCGTAGGCGGGATTCCCGGCAGGATGGGATAGGAGGGGTGGAGGATGGGATTGGGACGCGATTGGATGTGAACTGGGGTCGTAATGAATGGGTGTGTAAGGCGACGTGATGTGAGCTAGTGTCGGGCAGTTGGATAATCGAAAAGGATGAGGTAGATTGGGGGTTTTAGGGGGCCAGAGTGAGAAACGACGACGCAGTTGCAGCCTGAGAGGCAAGCGAGGAGCTGTGCCGCGGCGAAGTACAATGACCCCGATTCCCGAGGATGAGCTCTCTCTGATCAGTCGTTTCTCCAACCCAGGCTCTTAGTAGCTATGCAGAGCGCAGCCAAAGAGCAGCAACAGCCAGAGACAGAGGTGTGTGTGTGTGAGTGTGTGAGTGTGTGCAGTGCAGTGTGCAGGATTAGCAGTGGGAGGGGTGCATACGGCGAGATACGATTCGATACACCAGGACGGATGGGACGCCGGCCGGGGTTGGGGACTGTCGATCGACAAGAGGAGAAAATGTGGATAAAACAAAATTGTTAAAAGCAACGAAGGCGAAAGGGGAAATCCACGGCGGAGAAGGCGGCGTTGGCGGCCGACGGCGGAATTGGGGTCAGATGGATCGTTCCGAAGATGTAAGTACTTCATCTCACGCTGTCCCCATCCCTTCTGTCTGTCTTTGCAAACTCCCGTGGGAGCTTCTTTTTTTCTGCCGCCAATATTCTCGCTCAACTTATTTTTTATGTTGCACGTCGCTTGACTTTTGGGTTTGTCCGCCGCCGTCGCCGCCGCCTCAAACGACACATTGACAGTAGTTCGAGTCAGGTAGATGGGCAAAATTGGGGATATCAGAGTAAGCCAACTCGAGGCAGGGGGCGAACACAGACGCGGAAAGTCCGTTTGTGAATAAGGTAAGGCAAGGTAAGGGACGGCGGGTACGATGAATGAAGCACAAGCAAACACCCAAACTCACCTTCAAACGCGGCCTGGACGCTTCTCTTGAGCGTGCCCGTCCGCACCGAGCTGGGTCCAGAGGCGACGGATGGCGGGTTGGTCAGGCTCATCATCCGACGGTAACGAGCGTCTCGCTCGGTAAGCTCTGGAGTGATGTGGTGGTCCGTAAGAGGTTCCCTGCAATGTGGGAATTTGATGCTGCGTGGCAGACTCCTTCCCAGCCGGTCCAGTTATCCGAAAGATCCAAAACACCTAAACGCCGTTATCCGCGTGGCCCTTTTCTTTTGGCCGTCAGCAGCAGGCCTGAGGTTGTCACTGCTGGGTTTCGAGCCTCGCAGCCCGAGTCCAATGGCGTAATGCCACAACCGTCAATGTGGTTTGTCGGTGCCCCGGTCTAGAGGCTAAAACTGAATGGAACTGCGTGTGTCCCGGGAACCTGGTCCGTCGCTTTCGCACCTACCCTCGGAAAGAGAAAGGCAGGCGGCGGGAACGTGGCGAAATGGAGACTCAATTACTTTCCCGGTGGATATCGTTCGGCCCAAACCTGGATCCGGGATAGAGGCAGTGTCAAGACGGGGAAGGATAACCCAAGATCCGTGTCGCCGCCAAAAGGGCCAAGGCTTCAAGGTATAACAAGACGGCGCCGGCCGAAATTCAATAAAAGTCAGGATCAGGCACGTCTCCGTCCGGCGTCAGTCAGCTTCAGCGTTCAGCGTCAGGTCAGGCCAGGCCGGGCGTGGGACCAGCCTCGTGCGCGTGCGCGGTTGAGATGCGAAAGTGGAGGATGGCGCAATATCCCGTCGGCCAGAGGGGCCGGGCGAGTGCTTGTGCTTCTTGTGCTTGCTTTGGTAGATTCTTTTTTCCTGTTCGGAGGTTTCTTGTTTCTCTGCTCACTGTGGTCCTGTGCTGCAGGAGAGCAGAAGTTATGCCCGAAAGCCCAACGGCTGCTGCGCGTTGGAGACACACGAACAAAAAGGAAAGGTGGTGTCGCCCGATGCCTGTACAGGCCAAATCTGGCCGCGACGTGGGCTGGGCTGGTGATAGGGCGAATTCGCGCGGGGGTCACCAGCAGCAGCAGTAGAATCTCAGTGGGATTCGGAGATCGGAGGATATGCGCGCGTGCCACCACCACGCGTGCGGTGTGAGCTTGTAGCAGGCACTTCGGCCGGGATCTCCGGGGGCGCGGGCGGGTATCTGGGTTGTAAGTTGCCGGAAGGGGGCTTGATGCGGGCAGTATATCTGATATGCGCGTGAGGATCTCCCCCAACTGCGCAGGTTGAAAAATGGCTGCTGCGTATGTAGTGTAGTGTAGGTAATCTGTAGGTTCCAGTAATGTATGCGCGATGATCGGCGTCGCGCGTCCCGCACGAGTCGAGAAATGTTTCGGTGTTTACTGTGTGCGATCACGGCCGAATGGCGGTATCAAGTGCGGAGAAGGCGGACGGAGAGTCGCATTGGGATGGAGAACCTGGCAGAGGAGTGACTCGGGCCGCCAATGCGAGAGACAGCAGCGAGAGGTGTCGGCGCAGGACCATTGACGCAGAAGCGAGTGAGAGCACCGGCGGTCGTGATGAGTGAAGGAGTGAGGAAAGTGACGTTTCACTGAGAGCAACAGAAAGCGAGGCGGCGTGGCTGCCATTCATAAGGTCCCGGCTGCTATGCCTCTGCTTGTGCTGGGTGGCGGAAGGCGCTTGCCTTCTGCCTACAGTGCCATTTCTGCCATCCAAGGCACGGTGTTGGAGCAAGGGCATCAATCAGACTTCCCCTTCCATCCCAACCCCTCACAGCTCCTTGCTTTAGGTTGCCTTACCTAATGCTTTCCCTCTCCCCTGACAGCTTCACATGAGACAGGGACGGGGACACAATGCTACGTCAGTATCGGACGTAAAAAAGACTTCATCAACTTTTTCGTTAGAAAACAAAAAAAGAGGCTCTAGAAACCTGTCGCATGCATGCCACTCTACTAACAAGAAGACCAAGATCAGCCACAGCACACCCCCGGGGATGATTACACCGCGGCCGTCTATCGCGGGCCAAGCTTCTCCAGCACCCGCGGGCCCTGCTCATCCCACTCCTGCTTGGTAACCCACATGCCCTCCTTGTCCGCCATGATGTTGGCGAGCACCGCACCTCCAAGGAACACCATGTGTCTTCGGCGGGGTGGGTCCTCTATCCGGACCTTGAACTTGTTTAATCTCTCCGGGTTGCCGCCGAGCACCCGTGTAAGCCACAGCTGCTTGAGCTCCTTCTCCAGACGCGAGGGCAGACCGGGGTACATGCTGCTACCACCCGACAGGACGATAGCCTTGAAGAGTGACGACCTGACGTCGACGTCGGCCGCCTGGATCGTGTTGAACAGGAACTCAGCAATGCCCGGCTGTTCGCAGTCGACGAGGTGAGGCTGGAACAAGCACTCGGGCGCCTCGAAACGTTCGCTGCCCACGCGGATGACGCGGCCGTCGGGTAACGTGTAGCTCTCCACCAACACCGTCGTGTCCTCGCTGAGGCGCTTGTCCAGCTCCAGGTCGTACGAGACGTAGCAGAGCTTCTCCTTGATCTGGCGGACCGTCTCGAAGTCGGCCGTTCTGTTGAGCGCGTATCCGCGGCGCAGCAGGAGCGCAATGAGGTTGCGCGTGACGTCGCGGCCGGCAACGTCAAGTCTGCGGGTGAGGTGGTTGAGGACCACGGACTCGTACACGGGGACGATGTGGGTCACGCCGTCTCCCGAGTCGACGACGACACCGGAGCTGAGACCTGGAAGCAGCCAAGTTAGCCCCATTGTGTACGCCATTGCTCATCGACGGTAACGGTGGTTCCGAGAGGGTATCTTACCTTGGGCGTAGAGTGCCAACACGGCCTGGATCGCAACGTAGACACCGCCAAATCCGTACCGGTCGAACATGACCTCGCACATCTGCTCACGGTTCCGCAGCGGGTTCATCGGGGGCTCGGTCAGCAGGATCTTGCGTCCTTGCGTGTCGACCTTCATCTTCTCGTTGAAGGTGTAGTCCCAGAGGTGCTGCATGTCCTCCCACTTCTTGACGATACCGTTCTCCATGGGGTAGCTGATCTGGAGCATGGTGCGGGCGGCGGCGGCCTCGTCACCGCACATGATGTCCTTGATAACGAGGTCATTGGTGTCTCCTTGCTCTTCGGTTCTCAGGATCGGTCGGCCGACGATGGAAGGGTATTGGAATTCGGGGAAGTTCTGCGCTGCATAGCCGACCTTGAGGAAACCGGTTCCTCCGTCGAGGACTGTAGTGGATCTTGCGTCAGCCACCTCCCCATAATCATCAATCATCAATCATCAATCAGCCAAGCAGCGGTGATGACGGTAGCTGCCCGGGAGCCAGCCGCTGCAGGGCGGTATCAGGAGAATGGCGTCTTACCGATGGGGGCCTCGGCTGCCATTGTGAAAGCAGAAGCTGAAGCTGCAGGGCTGAGAGGTTGAGCTTCTGTCTTGGGAGGGAGGGAGAGGTGTGGTTGGGTTGGGGAGAGCACCCGGGAAGCTGTTACGTCTGTGTCGTCGATAGTGGGGTTGGTTGGGTTCGCTGCCTCCAGCTGTCCAGTGCCAGTGCTGCAACTGGATCGTCACACAGCGGTGGCTGAGCAGGCGCTGTCACGTGATACCCCGCAGCACGGGCAGCCTGCACCACCACACCTTCCTTCGACACCTGTGCTCGTCTGAGCGGTGCACCTGCTGAGTGTGAGATGTCGCTGTCAGCGTAACCGGGCCGGCAAACCGCACAATTGTCGGCACTGTCTCCACTGGCCGGCGGCGTGAACGCAGCTTTTAGCCCGTCGGAGTTGCTGCTTTTCTCTCCTGTGACTGTTTCCTAAGGTGTCGTGAACATATCGCAAACTTCTCATCAAGTTTCACACCAAACAGCAACCATGACGACCCGGCTTCTCCGTCGAAATATCAAGATCCTCGTGATCAACCCCAACTCCTCTCTCGACATGACGAGGGGCATGGAGAAGGCCATCCAGGGAATGCCCCTGCACGATGTAAGCTGGGGGTTTGAAGCTGTCAACATGCCATCCGTGATGGTTTGACAGTAAAAAGCATCACTGGCTGATCTCTAACGTCAGTCTCTCGAAATTCACACTTACACGGCGCCGTCCGACAGCCCCGCCAGCATCAACGACGACGCAGACATCCAGCGCAGCACCAAGGCCGTGCTCAGCAACCTCACCAGCGAGCAGATTGAGCAGTACGACGGCTTGCTCGTCGCCTGCTATAGCGTCCACACGCTCGTCGAGAAACTCTCTCAGAAGTACCACAACAAGCTGGCCGTCACCGGCATCTTCGAGGCAAGTGTCCTCACTGCAATCTCACTCCTTCCTCACACCTCACCTGGCGCCACCTCTTCAAAATGGGGCGTGGTGACCACTGGCGACTTTTGGGAGAAGCATCTCAGCCATGGAGTCAAGTGCTATCTTGGGCAAGCTGAAGAGGCAGAAAACGCCAAGTTTGGTGGGGTCATGACTACCGGGTTGACTGCCGGAGACTTCCATCACGTCGGCCCTGAAGAGGTCAAGGAGAAGCTCGTCAAGGCGACCAAGAAGCTGCTCAACAGCGGCGATGTTGGCTGCGTGGTCATGGGATGTGCTGGCATGGCGGGCCTTGAGGAGATCATTCGCAGTTCGGCGATAGAGGTCTACGGTAAGGAGAAGGGTAGCCAGATCTATGTTGTTGATGGCGTCAAAGCTGGCATTTTGCAATTGGAGCAGACCATCAGAAGCAGGAGGCTGTTTCAAAGCTGAGCAATATCAATATACCCTATGGAAGTCTGTAAACGCCTTTTATTCCCATCCAATTACCTTGATAATGATTGAATCGCCACAATTCTAGACGCAAGCTTAATCCAAGCGACGGGTCCGACCCCAGACTTCGTCGGCATCCTTCTTTCCAAGCGTCTCCGGCACCTTGACAGACACGAAGAGCGCAAACAATAGCGCAAATCCGGCAAACAGGAAGTACACCCAGCCTGCACCGCCAAGCAGTTGGTTCAGGAAGTTGTTGACAATAGGGAAGAATTGAGCAACCAGGAACGTTGCTACGTAATTCGCACCCAAAGACCACGACTGAATGGCGCCAACAGCCTCCTGTCCGACCAGCTCCGACGCGAGAATGAAGGGCACTGGACCAAGACCAACAGCGAAGAAGGCCACAAAAGACACGACGGAAACCGCCGACAAGATCTTGACGCCAAACTTGATCGAGAGAGCAAGGATCAGGGAGCTGGTGCCCTGGCCGATGATGGAAATCAGGATGCACCTCTTTCGGCCAAGCTTGTCGGGCAGCGGCGAGCACGCAGCCGTGGTGATCAGGTTGACAACGGAGATCAGAATGGTAAGCAGGGCAGAGCTGACGGGGAGAAGGTCCGTCAGGAGGGACACGGAGTACATGATGATCGAGTTGATACCGCACAGCTGCTGCGCAAACATGATGCCGACAACAGCAGCGATGGCGGGCCTGTAGAGCGGCTCCTTGACAACCTCAAAGAAGCCGAGGTGGACGGGCGAAGTCTTCTTGGGAAGCCCTGGAGAAGTCGGGGGCGTAGCGTCGCTCTGGGCCAAGAGACCCTCCGCCTCAGCAACGGCATTATCGGCGTCCCAAGCCTCGACCTCCTCCTTGATGTCAAAGTCCTTGCCGCGGATCCGCTGCAGGGTGCGGCGGGCCTTTGGAGCATCTCCGTTGGCAGCAAGCCAAGCCGGGCTCTCGGGAACAAGGAGCAGACCCGAGGCCTGGGCCAGAGAAACAATCACACCAGCGGCCAGGATCCAGCGCCACTGCTTTCCGTAGCTCAAGAAGTATCCCAGAGTCTGGACTCCCAAAATGCCGACGTTGATGGAGACCTGTGTCATGGCGCCGAACAGGCCGCGCTCCTTGGGCGGTGCAATCTCACTGATGTACAGCGGCACAATGACAGTCGAAGCTCCAGCCGCGGCACCAGTGAAGAAACGGCCGATCGACAGGACTGGCGCGTTGCCGGCAAGCGTCTCGATAACAGCACCAATGATGTAAAAAACCGCGGTCAGGCGCATCGCAGGCAAGCGGCCGCGCTTAGAGGAGAAGGGGCCGGCGCAGAGGGCACCGATCAGGCCGCCGACGGTGAAGATCGAGGAAACGGTCGCGAAGACGGCATCGGTCATGGGAATACAGTCGGGGAGCCAGCTCTCGGTGTCGGGCGACTTGGAGTGCACCCATTTCAGCATGGTGGTCTTGGCCTGGATCGACTTCTTCCGGCAAGTGAGGACATCTTGGGGCGCGTTGAGCTCGGCCTAGACAGGAATCACCGTCGTTAGTTGTCGTGTTGAGTGAGGGACGGAAGTCGGAGAATGCGGGCAAAGGTATGATGCAATACGTACTAGATGGAAGCCGAACTGCAGGGGGCCCAGCGTCGAGACACAGATCAGTAGCAGCAGGTAAGGGCTGACATCGTGCATGCACTGGCGAAGACCAGAGGGAGCCATGTTGGACGTGTCTCTCGCGATGTTTTCCAATTGTGTCGTCCAAAGTGTGGTGTGAGGGAGAGAAAGAAGCTTTGTACGAAGTGAAGGGTCCGGACCTGAGGGGAAGGGAAGTCGGGACGAGGAAGCGAGCCTTGAATGGAACCTGGAACCGGTTTCTGGGGAAAGACGCCGGCGGACGGCATCCCATGACAGCGCCCACATGCCACAGCTGCCACACACCACTGCACCTCAGCACCTCAGCACCTCAGCACCTCAATTAGTTCAGGTCCCTGAGCGCCCCCATGTTCCAGGTTCCGCAAGCGGGGGCCCGCCGGTGATCAGCGCTTGCGGCACCTACGGCATTAAGCTTAGGTGTCTACGCGGCCCGTATTAGCGCACAACGGACTGCTGAGCTGGATAGGTACCATGTCGCTGGGAGAACCTTTCTCACAGCTCCTATTCTCGGAGAGCGAGGGCTCGCAAATTATGTTCATGCAAGCCAGCTCATGGAATGATTATGCAGATCTTTGACAGGTTTTCGTTGTCTAGAGGCACTCTGTCGGAATAACCGGGCATCGATCGTAGCATCTTGCAGGGACTCAAGCTGCGGATGTTCGGTCTTCTGTCGATGAGAAAACATGGCGTTCCATGTTTGATGAGCCTGCCACTCACGTCTACACGTCGGGCGTACGGGATAATCAAGCCAAGAATGGGCTGACGATTTATTTGACTCTTTTCAATAGTCACTCGGTCTTTCCCAAAGCCCGTCCAACAGCCACCTCCAAAGTCTCAACATCGTTCGGCCCAACGCCAATGCTCTCGTTGTCCGTCTTCTCGTACAGCGTACCGCCCTCGGCCCAGATGCGGCGCAGGGTGAAGATGGTCGCGTACGGCTTGCCATCGGCCCACGCCTTCTCCTCGGCCTCTTCGAGCTTCTTCAGCGGCACGTAGGAGGTCTCCCACTTTGCGCCCGTCTGCTTCTCGAACTCGGCCAGAATCTGCTTCGGTGTCGCGACGAACGACTGCACCTTCAGGGCCTTGTTGAACGACGCGTCAGGGTGTCTGAGCGAGGCGACTAGAGTTTTGCCAACGCTGTGGAGGGGTTAGCAACATTCAAAGTGAGCGCCGGCGTAAGAAAAGACTCACTCCTTCATGGTGATCAAGCCGACCTTGCCCTCGCCGTCTTCCACCAAGACGGCCTTCTTGGTCTTGACATCATATCCACCGGCCTCCGGTGCCACCGGGGCGAGAGATAGATACATGTCGACGTACGGTCCCGTCACCAGGTACGTGTACTTGAGCCGCTTGACGTTCTCGCGGATGTACTTGCGCACCTTGAGCTTGGCCTGGTGAGGCTTCTCGTTGAGGCTCTTGGGGCCGTACTCAATGTCCGTGCCGTACTCTGAGGGATAGAACCACTTCACGGAGTCGGTCTCCTCGGCCAGCTTGATGAGGTCGATTTGCTTCTCAATCACGTTCCTCCCCAGGGCCGAGACGACGGTGTCGTGCTCCTTGTAGGCAGCCTTGACCTCGTCATTGTTGTCGACATTGCCGCTGATGACCTTGGCGCCCTTCTTCTTCCACCCGTCCAGCAGCGCCGCCTTGTTCTCTACGGTAGAGGGTGACGTGAAGATAGTGATCTGACCGAATGCCGGGCTGGCGTCCAGCAGGGCTTCGGTGATGAACAGGCCAATGTTGCCTGTGGCGCCGAAGACCAGAATCTTGGAAGGTGTGAAGGACATGTTGACTTGTGGTGTTGCGGTGATGAATTACAGATTATCGAGAGCTGCCAAAGCGGGGTAAAGCCAGCAGCTTGCTTCTCAGTATGAGCCTGTAAATAAAGTATTCACTGCAATTTGGCTGGATGGTTGCTTCTTCTTATAGCTTCACTTGATCGGAGCGATAACGGCACGTCAAAGTCACCCCGCTGAAACTTGCATTTGTAAGTCGAGCTTCGACCCCTCGGGAACTGACGCCATCCCAAGACGTGCTGGGCAAGTGGAGGAGCTACAAGAGGGGAACTTGGATGCGAGAGCTCAGCTGCCATTGATCCCCGCTGCGCATCTGGTGTTGCGCGCCCTTCGGCGCCCTTCAAAAAAAACCATATCCCCAACCCGCCGTCGCTGGTAACCCAAAATAACTCCACTGAATTCCAGATAACTCCAGAATTCAAGGTCCGTTCAATTGATTTATCCCAGTACTTTCTCGACTTGCTTCCAACGGAAACACGCCCTTTCATGAACACACATCCAGATAAAGCAGGCGGTCAAGGCAGCCTCCCCCGACTCGCACCACGTCGGGTACGTACCTCTGCACCAACCAATGGACCCCTGCCCGGACGGTGTTGTCTGAGAGGCTGACGGGCCCAGCGCGGGAGACGGGCGACCCCACCACCGATCGGTGAACTCTTGCCTCGAAATTTTTTTTGGCCGACCGTATGCTGGAACTTTTTTTGCCCAAAAAAAAAAAAAAAAAAGATCAAGGGAATCAGCGTCCTCCGCGACCCGCCCAATTCAACACACAGCTCCCCAGCCGCAGCCATGGCGGCAATTGACTCCCCAGTCACGAACGGGCACAAGTCCGACAAGAAGAGCAAAAAGGACAAGAAGGAGAAGAAGCGCTCGCGCGAGGAGGATGCTGTCGAGGGCGAGGAGCGCAAGCACAAGCGCTCCAAGAGCGTGGTGCCAAAGGACGACGACAACAACAGCGACGATGATACCCCGGCCGCCTCGCAGGACCTCTCCGTAGCCGCCTCCACGACCAACGGCGAGCCGTCATCCGAGAAGAAGCGCAAACACAAGAAGGACAAGCACAGGAAGTCGACAGACGAGGCCGAAGCCGACGAGGACGCATCCGACGCCGAGCGCAAGGAGAAGAAGGACAAGAAGAAGAAGCGCAAGTCACAAGGCCTCGAGGAGGTCTCAGCCGACACCCCCGCGAGCGAGAAGGAGAAGAAGAGCAAAAAGTCCAAGGCGGCCGCCGTCGCCGAGCCAGAAGAAGCCGACGCCGACGACGAGAACGCGATGGACGTCGACGCCCCCGCGGAAACGAAACCGACATCCCGAGCCCACCAGCCCCCCGACGCACCCTCCAAGCCGCAGTTCCCCTTCTACACCCAGACCGTCTCGCTATACCTCCCCATCTACCCCATAGGCTGGGACACGCCCTGCACCGCCGCCGCGACGCAGCACCTCGAGCCCCTCGTGAACCGCTACGTCCCCGACTTCAAGGGCGTCCTCCTCGCCTTCCGCAACATCGCCGTCTCGGAGCAGCCCGGCCGCCGCGGCGCCGCCACCTCGGACAGCCAGCGCTGCGACCTCGTCTCCGTCGACGAGTACGCCGTCGGCTTCGGCTACGTCACCGTCGACGTCGACCTCTTCGTCCCCCGCCGCGGCGCCTGGATGGAGGGCGTCATCAACCTCGAGAATGAGGGCCACATCGGCGTCGTGTGCTGGAGCAAGTTCAACGCCAGCATCGAGTCCGCGCGCCTGCCGGCCGAGTGGCGCTGGGTGCACGCCGACTCCGCCGAGGCCGCGCAGTACGTCGCCGACCCCTTCGCCGCGGAGGAGGACGCCGCCGAGGCGCAGGCGGCCGAGGACGAGCACGGCGCCGTGCGCCAGATCCACACCACGGGCTTCTGGGTCGACGGCGCCGGCGAGAAGGTCAAGGGCCGCGTCAGGTTCCGCATCAAGGCCTTCGACGTCGGCGTCAGCGGCGACCACGGCTACCTCAGCCTCGAGGGCACGATGCTCGACGCCGCGGGCGAGATGGCGGCCGTGAAGCGCGACGCGGAGCAGGAGCGCCGGCGCAGGGTGGGCAAGAGCGGCGGCATCCTGAGCAAGGAGCGCCGGCGCATGCCCGAGTTCAGCGTCACCAAGTTTGGCGTGGTCGAGGACGAGGAGGAGAAGGCGCTGAAGCAGGACGTGTGGAATACGACGACCCCCGTGACGGATGACGAGGGCGCGGGCAAGGACAAGGAGGCGTTCGCTGGCATTGCGGAGGAATAGTTTTGCGATGCTTTCCACGATTCCCCTGCGGGATGGCTTGTTCGGGCGTTTTGAGGTTAGGGAAAAACTGATAATGATAAACACTGTACATCATTCATAAAGACTGCTTGGACTTCTTCCCTGTTATTTTGGACACAACCTGGTAGCTGGGTACCCTAGAAAAGTAAACCTGTCTTGGCTTTGCCGTTGATGAATCCCTCTGGCCGACCGTACTCCTCGATCCCGTTGAAATAGGTCGCCGCCGTTGCTACCTCCATCCACGAGCCTCCCCATGTCCATATTGCCAAGCCGCCATTGAGTTTCGTGTTCTTATTTCATCACAAGATGCCGACCCAGCAAGCAACGAAGAACAGGAAGACTCCGAACCGAACGCCCGCGACGATCTCCTCCTCGGGGAAGTAGATATCCAACAGCCAGGCCGGCGAACCTACCCAGATTAAAGTCAGCACAGCTCCGGACGCGGAAACCCGCCAAGAATTCCGAGAGAGGAAACAAACCGCAGACCGGACCTTGGCCGTCACGGTAGCCCAGGATCAGCAGGATCAGCCAGACCAGAATCTTGCCAAAGGCCATCGTGAACCACATGGTGAGGTACAGAGCGAAGAGCCAGAAGTAGGTCTCGGCGAGGGCCGTGACCCATCTCTTGAGGGTTGGTAGAATGGTTGAAGTCATCCTGATGTTGTGGGACAGTTGATTGCTGGTGTGAGTTGTTTTAGTGAAAATGTTGTGTTTGGAGAGGGATGGTGAGAAGGAGCAAAGAAGGACTTGGGTTTTAGCAAATCTAGAAAGAACAACAAGGATGGGATAGGTCAACGGTCAGTAGTGCGTTCACGGCCATTCACTCAGGTCTCGACAGAGTCCTCGTCGACTTCAGAAGCTGGTACGCGGACTTGATTCAGCTATGGAGAAGACATCTTGCGGACCACGAGCTTGATTTGCAGACGATTCCACCCACTCAAGCTGTACCATCACACCCCTGGATCTCCAATCGCCAACCAAACGCCTTAGAAAAAGAGACCCCTCATGAAGAATCGCCATATCGTGCCGAGGAGGGGACTGGTAGAGATGAGTCCACCGATCCAGTCGCAGAACCAAACCCCGAGCATGTCTGGGCTTCTATGTCAGTCTTCATAGCCAGCACCAAGGCAATTGTTTGTGAAGCCTCATATTCTTACCTGCAAAGGGACCCAGGCGTTCAATAATCATGCCCAGGCGCTGAAGCCCCGTGAGGATACTTCTGGCGGGAACGGAGCCGCCGGACAGAGACTGCCACCAAGCGGCCATGAAGCCTGAAGCAACCATCAGCTCATACTTTTTCAATCTTGCAAGAATTCAAGAGGAAAGCTTACCAGCGATGAAATGAAGAGGAATCTCAACGAGAATCGATCCAAAGAGGAAGTTGGATATCCATCCCTGGACCCAGTTGGCAGCCAGGTCATGAATCCGCCGGATCATAGTGTGTAGAGAAAGAGGTGTTGGCTTCGTTGTGAAAGGAGGTTTTGCTTTTGTTTGCGGTTGTGAGGAGAGAGATTGTAAGGAGGAAAAGGCTGACTGGGTTGGTCGTGGGTGGGGAGGCAGCTTTTTGTCGGGGTGAAACTGCCGTCGAGCTCTTGTGTCCCGAAACCAAGGACCACCTTTCTCCTACTCGAGCACCACATCCAACGGCGCGTCAAAGTGTTTGTTGCACATCTGTCGTTGTCGTTGGCTGTCGCGATAAAGCATATAGAGATCAATGCAAATAACACAGTAGAAGGAAGGCGGAAGAGCCAATGGTAAGTACTTGGGTGGGAAGTCGGGGCATCGTTCTAATATCTCAGCATGTACTCGAATTACCCATCGTAATACTCAAAACTTACCCACCGTCAAGCACAAAAGGCGTAAGCCATACGAGATTCTTTGACACACAGCCAGATCAGCCTGTTCGGACGCTAGGATGGCGGCTACCAATCCGACCGCCAAGCGGCGCGCTACGTCTTGTAGGGGCATCATATTCAGGCTCTGTTCTTGTTTGCGTGATAAGAGAAGGTTGGCTTTCCATGCGGAGTGATGATTCTGAATGGTTGGTTGCCCATTTGCGCAGCTGATTGAGCTTGGGGGAAACCTCATACTTATAAAAACGTTGCAGGCATGTTCAAAAGGACATTCTGAGTTTCTAGGATCATCTTGATGTAATTCAGGGTACTTGCAGTTTTGTCTCCGCTAACTCACTCCTCACACATCTCTATTGGTCGTTGAGAGAAAGAGGAGGACATTTCGCGACGGTGCCTCTACCGACAAGCGAGACAACACAAACGATCCCCTCATGGCTGTCAGAGACATACATTTCGTCCGTCACAACCTCAGACCCGCCCTGACAAAGCATATGGCCACAGTCTCCCCCACTTGACTATCACACAACCTCTAGAGTTTCGGGAACAGGCAGTCAAACGACGCACCATCCAGCCCGTCAACTTGACGTCTAGGACTCATCCCAGAATCAGGTCATGGCCCAAGCCTGCAAGAAGGCGAAGAGACCCCCGGCAGGAACAGCTGCGCCATAGACAACGGCTTGGATCATGGCTGCAGCAGAGCCTGTGAGAGAACTATTAGACATTCCGTCCTGAGGATAAACATAACTGGGCGGGCATTACTTACCAGCGATGGGCCCAAGTGGACCAAATCCCATTGCGGCAAGAACCGGGCCAACGATGAAACTCAACAACATAGTGCCTGGATGTCAAAAGGTGAGCGGGAGGCTCAACTTCGAGTGTGAAAAATGTTGCAGACTGATCTGAGTATCGTTCAAAAATATTAGGGTGAATTCGACAGGAGATGTGGTGGAGGGGAAGAAAGGAGGATATATGTATTCATGTGCGTGTCAGCCAGTATTGAAGGGCCCGCGGGCGGAGGACCATCCCTTGATGCAACACTCCCGAATTTGAGCATGGTCAAAGTGTAAAAAGTCTTTTATGATATGAAATGATATCTGGTTCGGTGGTAGACGCAGGCCGCATTCTGGGCCAACAGGGAATGCAGGTGTGAGGTGATGGACAGGGAGAGGCCCAATGCGGCCGCGTCAATGCAGGAGGCCGACAAGATCAAGCTTTCGTCCCCAACCAGCCGCACGAGTGGAAGTCGGTCGAAACATATGGATATGTCTGTTTGCTCAAAGTACGCTCCTGGTCGCTTGAACCTGTCATGAAATTTTGAGATCACCAGTTCCCTGCTGTGAGCTCCTCAGACCTGCCCGGTTGTTCACATTTTGTGCCGTGGAAGTCGTGCTAGACGCTCTTGATTCCTTTTCACCATCGCATAAAACAAACGGTTCTCCATTTTCTGGTCTAGGCGACTAAGAATCTTGCCATTGAATGTGTTTGGGTACTTCTATGCATCTGCTCTGACATGCGACTGCCTCATTGCCGCAGAATAACCATGACAATCCGACGGGCATGTGGCGAGAGAGCCTGGAAAGACTCAGATAAAGACAGCAAGCGCAGTAGTCTGTTCGCACAAATTAGAATGTTTGAAGTAACTCCTCTTGATTCAAGATCTGACACTTACTACAAAGCCAACAAGCGCAAACACCAGAGGGACCAAGGCAATTATGATCCTCATAATACCTAGCTAGGATTGTAATCATGATGGCAGAAAGATCGATGTATGTTTAGTTTATGAAACCGATTGGGATTCGTTCATGGGGCTTCAGTTTAAGTTGTTTGACATATGGGAATGGCAGGTTATATAGCTCATGGGGCTACTGTATAAGAAGCTTATCATAACCTGACCGTCTAGTAGCTCAACAACGAAGACTTTCACATGCAATGTGTAATGCCACACTTCACGGGGTTAAGACTGGCCGGCAACGCGTTGGACGCATTTGCATACAGTCGGAGGCCTACCAGCCAACTTTCAGCAGCTCGGACTGCGAGATAAGTCTAAAGACGTCGACGAATGCTACACACCAAGCTCTAGTCTGATCTTCTGTGTGACTCTAGCCATCGCTCAGCAGAGTCTGAAACCTTTCCACAGATCCTCCCTCCCGATCATCACAGTCTGGCTCTCACCCGCACCATCCTCCATGCTGAAGCAAGGAGTCAACTCCAAGTCATGCCGAGGCGCTGGAGGAAAGAGAATAAGGATCCCTCGGGGACGTAGCCTGCATATCGAGCTTGCCACCAGGAGGCAAAGGTGTCTATCAGAAGTTAACTTCATTGCCCACAGGATTGGATAGATAAACTTACCGGCTACTGGACCAAGTTCACCAAACCCCAACGCCTTAATGACTCAAGGGGTGATGATGACCAATATGCCAATGGCAATGATGGTGACGAGGACAGGATGCTCCTCCACAAAGCCAAAGACCTGCTGGGCCAAGTCGGTCGACTTGTCCATCGCTTCCTTGACAACCTGGCCGAAAGTATCACGGTGGCGGACAAGACCTTCGACGCCGCCGAGGATGAACTTGGCAAGATTCTCGGTCCAAGAGTTCGTCGTCACGATGTTTCGGAGCCGTCGCTCGAGGTCCTTGCCTCCCTTCTCGGCGGTGCGGAGGATGTCGACGAACTCGGATGCGGCTTCCTCGCTTGATCTTATCGGTTCCTTCGAGATCACTGCACACGCCTTCTGATCGATCGTAGGCTGCGCATCTTTAGCGATCAGAGCTCGGCCAAGGAGACACTCAAGAAAGTTATTGCAGTCCATCTTAAGATTGTATGTTGCGAGTATCTACTAAAGAGTTGTAGGATTTGTGTGTTGCGATGCTCAATGGATCTGGAGTGTAATCGAAAAGGCACGCCAGTTAAGCACAGCGGAAAATGAGGACAAGCCGAGCTTTGAACGACTTTCTGGAAGGGTGGACAGCCATGTCGATCTCGTCGGCCTCCAACATGAAATCTGCCTTGTTGGACCAGTAGCCGTTGCTGCTCTGCCTACCTGTCTCATCATCTGCAGTCCTTGTTGGCCCAAAGTATGACCGCCAATCATCATAACCAATCCAAAGCGTCAATTTGCCGGTTGGACGATGAGTGTCCCAACCAACACAATACCACCTCGGTCCTTTCTTGCACGTTGGACAACACATGCCCTGAGAGGCCTCAGATAACCGCGTGCAAAGCTGTTGCTGCTGCTGCCTTGGTGCACAGCCCCTATTGGCCAGGCCGGCCGGCCGCACCAACCAACAGTCATCAAAGGTGCCAAAACTCGGCCCAGGCCGTCATTGAGGCCATCACAACAGAATAAGAGCCAATTCGGGCAAAAAGCAAAAATAAATGGGCCCTAACCAGGGATCGAACCTGGGACCTCTCCCAGTTTGAATCGTCAAATGACAACCCTAAGGGAGAATCATACCGCTAGACCATCAGGGCTGATATCAAGCATGCTACTTGATGATGGCCGTGACAAATTTGTGACTCATGAATGACTCCTCGTGTTGTGGGCGCTAGCCGACGATACGCGACCCACACGGGACGGTGCCCACTCCATCAAGCCCCCACTCACCAAATTCTTCAGCGCCGCACAACCTTACTGTCATTGATTTCCAGCTGTTTTGACGTGTCACGCAATGTTTTGCAGCATGGTAGTGCGATGTAACAATGTTTGCTTGTTACAGACGTTCATCACCAGAGACGGTACAACTGAACCATCTGCATTTTGGTACACCCCAGAAGCCAAATACTGCAATACGAGCTCCGGTTAGAACGGCCGCTGTGGAGACGACTCCCAACCGCGATGGCGGTGGCATTCTTCAGGCCTAGATTTCTCAGCTGCCATCATGATAGCACCACAGGATCTGAATCCTTCAAGAATATGTGGCCAAAAAAACTACACGACTTCAATCAATCCTCATGGTCGGGGACGGGATTGAGTTTTCTGTTCCCAATTCTGTGACACTCGCCGCGGCGGAAGCTGTTGATACTTACACAACCACAGCAAGCTTTGTGTCATCCCAAGATGGAATCGGAAGCTGTTGTACACGGTTTCGTACTTTTTTGAAGATGATTATCAAACGTATTTGAAGTCTTGCTCAAGCTTGCCAAACTGCTCCGCCAAGGAAACGGACATCACATCCGTCAGCTCCGCTACGGCTCGATCAATGCGGGTAGGAAGCATCCGCTGATCCACCTGCTACTAAGCATGGTGGAGAACAGCCTACCTGCTCCCCTAAACAAAACAATAAATATTTGAAGGGGCAGGATATTTAGCGCACCCCTCTAGCTAATTAGCGCACCTCTCTATAGCTTAATCCTCCCCTGCTGCTAGTACTAGCTTTCTACCCTCTATACTACTAATTTTTTTGTACTTTTATCTATAGCCTATCTCTATAAACTAAACCCTACTACTATGAGGTTATTATTACCTATTATAAGGTTCTAAGAAGAAATTACGTTTAAGCCTAACCTTAGTAATAATATATTAACTATCAGTAAGTTAGAGATTAATAATATACCTACTAATATACTTATTATTATGCCTACCTTCTCTATATTAAATATTAACTTTAATATTAAATATCTTAGGAGTAGCTAGCTAATCTATGTATATAATTATAGTAATAAGGAGTATATTAAGTTTAAGCTTATTACTTACTACTTATTAGTATTTAGTAAAAAGTTTAACTCTATAGAAACTATTAATATTATACTAATTAATACTTATTATAAAGCTAAGTTTCAGCTTTAGATTATATATAAAAAAGAGGAGAAGGTTACTTAGTAGTATACTTATACTTCTTATTATAATACTACTAAAGTATACTACTTTACTACTACTATTTATACTTCTAAGCGCTATAAAAGCTCCTCTTTTTTAACTAAATACTTATAATAAGTTAATATTACCTACTCTAAAGTTAAATTAGTATAGTTAGCGCGTTATACTTATACTTAATATTAATTATAACTACTATAACTATAAGATTTTTAGTATAATAGCTTACTTAAACTTCTATAAAGCTCCTCTTAAGACTAAAAAAGATATTATTATTAAAGATTAAAATAAAGGCTCTTAACTTATCTAAATCCTTACTTATCTATATACTAAAAGTAAGAAATGTATAAAAGTTACTACTTAAATATTATTAACTTATTAGCTATTTACTACTACTATAAGCTAGTAGATAGAACCCCTATTAAGTAGCTTTTTAATTAACTATAAAATACCTCTAAGTATTAGTTTTAGTACCTCTAAGATAATAATAAGTATATTAAAGCTTTTTTTATTATACCTTATACTATGATTACCTTTCTCTAATAATATCTTAATATTTTATTAATAGATTTAACTTATAAAACTAACTACTTTAATATATTACTATTTAATATATATAATATAATAAATAATAATTTTAGCTTTTAAGTTACCTCTTACTTCCTCTCTAATAAGAAAGAAGCTAACTATACTTGACTAAGTAATAAGTATACTTATTAACCTCCTCAAAAAGTTTAATATACTTTAGCTTAAGGTTATATGTACTAATTAAGAGTTAGCTTTATTATAAGCGCTTAATATAAGCCCTACTTTTTATAATATATCTTACTTACTCTACTATTAATATATTGACCTTAACGTTCTTATTAAAACGTATTATTACTTCCCTCTTATAACTAAAAACACTAATAACATTACTACTTAATATAACTACTTAGTTTTAATAGTTTATTAATAATTAGAATAAATTTCTCTATAATAGTACTTATAATATATATAAATAATAAAAAGATATATTTTTAAGGCTAGCTACTTTATAGCTGTAGTTAACTATAATAGCATAGGTATAAGCGTATTTAGAGGCGTAGTATATACGCCTATATGGTATAGGGTTATAGATAGGCTTATGTTATAATAAAAGGTAATAATCTTAAGCATTTATAGGTATTTAATTATATAGATAATAATAAGGGAAGTGATGTATTATAATAATTTCTATTAATATAGTGAGTAGGTTATATCCTCTAGTAGGGAAAAGTAAGGGAAAAGATAACTTAAAATATAACCTACTAAACTACTAATTATATAAGGTACTTATATAACTAAACGTATTATATAATTAATATTATAGTTATAGGCTATAATGAATAGAGTATTTTTATACAAGGTTTTATACCTTGAACTTTATTAGTTTATTTTATATAGAATATTAAAGTAAGTTAAGCGTTATTATTATTCTTATATTATTATTCTTATTATAAAGGAATATTATATATTAATATCCCCCCTTAGTTAAGGTATATATAGCTAATTTATAGTATATAGCTTACTTATTTAATATATATATATATTATAGGTATAAAAGACTTAAAAACCCTATAGGAAAAATAAGAAAAGTATTCCTATAATATATATAATAGATTTTTAACTAGTTAAAAACTCTTTTTAAAATAACCTTATAGGTAAAAAGGTAAAAAGAAATTAATAAGTTATTTCTTTTATATAGTTATTATTATTATTATTATTATTATTATTATTATTATTATTATTATTATTATTATTATTATTATTATTATTATTATTATTATTATTATTATTATTATTATTATTATTATT